GACTTCCTCATACTTCTACTCTATGTTGATGATATGTTGATTATTGGACAAGATCGCATAAAGATAGCTGCTTTGAAGAAAGATCTAAGCAAGAGTTTTGCCATGAAAGATTTGGGACCGGCTAAACAAATCCTTGGGATGAGAATAACTCGTGATAGATCAAAGAGACTGTTGTGGCTATCCCAAGAGAGATACATAGAGAAAGTGTTGGAACAATTTAACATGGACAAATGTAAGCCAGTTAACACACCACTTGCTGGACACTTCAGGTTGAGTTCGAAGCAAAGTCCCACAAGTGAGAGAGAAATGGAGGAGATGAAGAAGATTCCATATTCATCTGTAGTAGGCAGTCTCATGTATGCGATGATATGCACAAGACCAGATATCGCCTATGCAGTTGGAGTCGTCAGCCGCTTCTTAGCCAACCCCGGGAATGAACATTGGCTAGCGGTCAAATGGATCCTCCGATACTTACGTGGAACTTCCAAAAGATGCTTATGCTTTGGAAAAGGGAAACCTGTGTTAGAGGGATACACAGATGCAGACTTGGCTGGTGATATTGATTCAAGGAAATCAACATCTGGATATCTAACTACTTTTGTAGGGGGAGCCGTTTCTTGGCAATCAAAACTGCAAAAGTATGTCGCATTATCCACCACAGAGGCGGAGTACATTGCAGCTACTGAAGCTTGCAAAGAGATGCTGTGGATGAAGAACATGTTTCTTGAGCTGGGAATAGATCAAGAAAGGTATGTGTTAAAGTGTGATAATCAAAGCGCAATATACTTAGCAAAGAACTCAACATTTCATTCCCGCACGAAGCATATTGACACAAGATATCATTGGATCCGAGAAGTCCTCGAGGAAAAGAAATTGCATCTTGACAAGGTTCACACAGACGAGAACTGGTCAGACATGATGACCAAGGTAATACCGACAAAGAAGTTTGAAGATTGCTGTCAAGGTGCAGGTCTACTACTGCCCCCCAATTAAGTCGGGAGGGGGAGATTTGTTAGGATCCCTCCTTAATTGGAGAGGTTCTAGAAAATTCTAGAGCTTTCTAGAGAAGTATAGAATTTTCTAGAACATTCTAGAGAATCCTAGAGAATTGTAAAATTCTCTAGAAGCTTGTGAAATAGTGTGGAACCCTCTGGAACATTCTAGAGATGTGTGGAGCCTTCCGGAACCTTATGGAAGAGTATAGAAGAATATAGAAGAAAGTAGAGATTCCTAGAATGTGTGGAGCATTCTAGAGAACCAATCTCAACCCTTGATCCCCACCATTCATTTTGAAGGTGGAGTAGTATAAATAGGGGTAGGAGGCTTCATTCCTATCAATCCAAGCCAAGAGTGAATCCACTTCTTAGAGTGAGAAAGTGAGAAAGCCTCTTTGTGAGAGAAGAGAGATAGTCTCAAGTTTGAGTGTGCCACCATAGAATGAGTCAATTTTGTAATTACATTCTTGTAATCCTACTATTCTTTTGTATAGTGGAAGAATCTCCATATTGGAGAATTTAACTCGTGTGCTCCCATTACTACCTTTAATTTCTAAGTGCCTATCTTAACTTCACGAAGCGGGAAAGTCCGAGTTTTCCCAACAATATAGTAGTGGGGACAACATGCAGTATGTTAAAACTGTTATAGGAAATTTACATTAATTACAAGTATGCAACTGATGTCCTGTCCCAATTTGGATCTTCTCCTACAATTTTCTCTCTCCAGCTTCTCTCCTGCAATATTAATAACCATTAAATATATCTAATAGCTCAAATTTAATCATTTAAGAAGTTATATTAATTATAAGATTAAATTTGGGTCATTAGATATATCTAATGACTATTAATGTTGCAGGAGAGAGGCTGGATAGAGAAAATTACAGGAGAGGATCCAAATTCTGTCCAAAAGCACGAGATAATACAAAACATGAAACGGTTATATCAAAGGGCATGAATCCAGTCACGACATTCTATGCAATCATATGATAACTCAAATACTGTTTATTTAACATTGTCACATATAAACTTCAGGACTCATCCCCAATCAAGAGATATCGAGTGTAGCATCATATAACACAACCAAGAAAAATATACTTTACCCGGAAAAAATAAAAGAAGCGCAACCCAGCTCATGATGAGCTCTGGCCTAGGTTCTGTGATATTGTTCTTAATTCACTGTACATTTTGGAACACTCAAGAGAAAAATCCGACAAAGCCCTAAACAGCTCTGGCATGCGATTTTTGAGACTTCCCAAAGTTTTTTGCCTCACTTGGAGGCATTGCCTTGCATAGGCTTCTTCCTCATCTTCCAATCTCTTCTTCACTTGTTCGACTGCAAACTGCCTCTCTGTAACAACTTCATCAGGAGCATTAGCATCTTCTGCCCTATCTGGATTGAATTCATCTGGTATTTTCTTCTGCATATACTTGTTATACCAATCTTCAAATTGCCTGGTTTTGCGGGAAAGCTCCTTTCGTGTATCCTCACATTTCCTCTTCAAAGCTATTTCTTCTTGTTGCTGATGGAAAATAGTTTCTATCACAGCAACAAAGTTGCCTATAGCTGACCTAGCAAGCTCATCAGGAAGTTTTTCTAGACGGTCATTCCATGCATGGAGAAGGCCTTGTATGGGTGGACTTTTAACTCTAGGAGGCGAAGAAACTTTTTCCTTTAAACTGCTTTCAATGGGGATAAGATTTAACTTTAACCAAGTGTTTAGGGCCTTCAAGTATCCCTTCTGATGGTTGACAAGCATCTCAAATTGTGAGTGCCACTGTTGCACAACAAGCAGTAGCTGGTATGTTCGGTCATGATGATGTTCGGTTGTTTGCTTAGGAGACTGGGAGATGTCCAGTGTTCTAAGCAATGTCACAGTATCCGATTGCTTCTCATGGTGACCTAGCATGGTATTCCACATTTCGGCCATCCTGCAGGGCACAAAGACCATCATTATTAGCAGAGAAGCCTGTATGTGTCATACATGAGGACGTGTTCATACAGATCTGGACTAAAGTATTAATTGGACACAGAAACAAACAACTTAGCTGCAAGAAGCATGCAGCTTGCATTCACTTGAATATAAACAAACATCCACGAGAAACGATAATGAAGACTTCAGAAATAGCATGCCAAATATGTGAATTGTGAAAAACAAAAAGAAAACGAAAAGCTTATTCAAGGTTATAAGACCATCCATCCATAGTTATAAATATTAATTTCTACATTATAACTCACTCATGAACAAGCTGTGCTAATCTTGGATACAACTGTTCATCACGTAAACGGTTAATTTCTGAGACTGTTGAATCCAAGGATTGCATATCTACGATATATCTTGTATGCAAATGACTGACAACTGCTTTTGCTTTCTCCAATGCTTCAGAGCTGGTGCCTCTTTTCTTCAGCTTATTAAGTGCGGCAACTTTTCTTTGGTACTCGAATTTCATTAGTTCTCCAGCCTATAAAATCATAATATGCAGGCAAATTCAGAATTAGAACAAGAAATTTGTGTGTCAATCTGTCTGCATATTTAACCCAGAACTAAGCAAAAGATAAGGCAGTAGAAAAAGGATGAGAAGACAGAAAGATACAAATATCCAAAGAAGTTATACATTTACATTGATATACTCAGAGCTGCAAGACTTTGAAAGAAAAATGTTACATAAGTAGGAGAGTAAGGCAAGTAAAACTCCTATCAAATAACACTTGGTTCAGTGAGCTTACCTTGACTTCATCATAAAGTTTCTTCTCCCACGCTAACAACTTGTCCAAAATGGTGGCATGCGTCTCATGCTCATCCGAGTCAAAATCATCCTTCCCATCATCCACATTGGGTATTCCTTTAAAGGATCGATTCCATGTAATAACTCGCATTACCCGAGCAGAGTGATCAATGTGTCCTGCAAGAAGAATACAGAAAAATAACATTTGCATAAATACAATTCAGCAAGAGCAAGACTTTGAGCTTGTTTGGATACAAACTATAAGAGTTTTTTAGAGCTTTTCTACTAAAAAAATCTTTATTTACAACAGAGAAGCTTCTAGAAGCTCTACTAAATTTGTATCCAGACAAACTCAAAATAAACAAGAAGCTTGTTTCCCCTCCTTTGAGCAAACTAGCCATCCACTCTTACAATGAAATCAATTAAGTAATCAGCATTCTCACACGAATTGGTAGAATTTAAAAGCTCATCACTTCAAACAAGTACCCAATACAGCAACAAAGGTATGGAAAGTACCTCTATTATCCGCAAAATTGGAGTGATAGTGCAAGCGCGTAGCCTCAAGCAACTTGGAAACAACATGAGCACTCTCGGAAGCCTTGAGAAAATGATCATCGAGATCAGCAAATATCTGCAGCAGATTGACGGAATGCTTCACAATCCTCTTCCCCTCCACAGAACTGGGCGTCTGCTGCTTGATCTTGGTGGCCTTGGGCGGCGGGGTCTCCATCATTTCCTCAGGCACAGGAACAGGCTCGGGCTCAGGCTCGGGCTTGAGCTGAGGCTGAGGCTGAGGCTGAGGCTGAGGAACACGAAGATCCTTCTGAGGCGTGACAACCTGGTCCTCGTGCACAACCCTGGCGGGCTTTTCATGGAAGACCTTGGGCTGAACCTTGGGGAGAGCATCTTCTTCGGCGGCATTGAGGGTGGGGCCAGCGATGTTCTCGAGGGAGGGGAAGAAGTACTCCCAAGCGCCGCTCTGGGGATCCAGCGGCATGGATTGGTGGTGGTGATGCGTGACGGGGTCAGGGGGTTTGGAGGGAGGAGGGGGCATGGGAGGGGGAGCATCGGCCTTTCTATTGTTTCTTCTCTTTCTTAAGGAGCCTTCGTTTTCTAAATCCTCGTCGTCCTCCTCGACGATGGTGGGGACGGGGTCGGAGTGGGGCCCATTGGGCTTGTTGATCTTGATTTCGGGCATGGTGACGGCCCGCTGGAGAGGGGCGGGGGAGAAGTCGGGGAGGGGGGGAGGGGGGAGGGGGATCTCGAAGGGCTGAGGGTTTTGAACGAAGGGGGTGTCGTTGGAGTGCAATTGGGGGTTTTGGACCTCTCCTTGGGCGAAGTCTCCGAGGGCGGCGCCGGTGTTCTTCAGGCATGTGCCGTAGGACGAGTGGGCGGCGGCGAATGCGTTGCGGGAGGACACCGACTCCTTCATGTACCGCTTCCTCTCCTTGCATCGCGCCACCGCTTCCTCGTTCTCGATCTTCGATTGGTTGCAACCCATTCCTACTTCGCTTACTTTGCTCTTCTCATCGTCGCCAGAGAGAAAGTGAATAAAGTTGCCTAGTGGAGCGGAAACCTTTAGCCAAAGTAGAGCACCGAATGTGCAGACAAAGAACAAGGGATTTGGAATTCGGGAATAAATTTTACATTTTTCCTTTTTTATTACTTGTTTATACTCATTAGTAGCCGCTACAAATACAATGAGATTCTGAGCAATTGGGATTGTTGAGTGCTGATTAAGTAATCCAGACCAGACAAATAAATATATCAAGAAATGAGATTTTAGTTACGCATAAATTAATTTTATTTTTTAGAGTTTTTTTTTCCGTATAAATACTTACAGATTTCTTAAATATGCTTACAAAATTTTGTTTAAAATTATGAAAGATTGTCCACTTATTTAATATTTGTAAAAGATTATTTTCGTATTTGAAGAAAAATACTTTTAAATAATAAAAGAAAAACCCTTACAAATTTAAAAGAATTTAGTCCAATTAGTTAAACATGTGTATGTGTATTATGTATCTTTAATATTAAGTTGGATTCTTATAAATAAATAAAAAAATTTGTAATTTAAAATGATAAACATCATTAATATTAATATATTAATTAGGAAAATGATTCACTCTCTAAAATGTTAAAATTCTCTCCTAACAAATAAAATAATAATTTAAATTATAAAATATTAAATTAAATAATTATTTTATAATAAATTTATTAAAAAATATTAATATTTTAAGAATTTGGACCATAATTTGGAGATCTTTTGGCACTGCGTAGAATAACTCTATTAACTAACGAAGTGATGTGATTTTGTACGTCTTTACAGTACAGTACTTACAGTCCCCATCAGCGGCTCACTGTGAAAGGAAGGAGAATTAGAAACTTAAATGTACTTTTGGCCTTAGCAAATCGCAATGCATGTCATATTCCACTTAATTAATCACTCATTTAAGAGTCCCTCATCAGTTCTGTCGGCCTTCACACCCATTTTCTCCAAGGTAGAAGAAGAAACTCAAGAAAGTGTTTGGATACATTAATTTATAATTTATTTAAATAAACAGTTGTTTTATTTATAAAAAATAATTATTCCCTGTAATTGAACGAATCCTCTTCGTGCGAACCAGCGTACAACATGATATGAAGGAATAAAAAGAAAAACATTGAAATTGAATAAAAAAAAATATTAGATGATATTAATAGCAATGAATATTGGAGGATAGTAAGAAAATAGAAATATAATAACTAAGGGCAGAAGACAGCAGTTAGAATGGTAGCGAATGGACCCCACGTATGACTTAACAGTGATGGTTTACGGACAGTGACTAATAATACCTATGACAATAATCAAAGGTTGATAATACCTGCTAGTGTTCGGAGGCTGTCAGCCATGCTGTAGCAGGTGCGAATAATAATATTGGTTGTCACTTGTCAGCGACAATAGGATCCTGCAGGGAATTCGGTCCTGCTAAATTTATTGGAGTTTATGAACACATTATTAAATGAACACATAATTAAGTTGTATATTGAAATGTATTACACTTTTTTCTCTTCACACAAATAAAATTTCAATTTTAGTGTACATGCTATACAAATTACGGGGTTCGTAGATAATTAGAATTGACATGTTTAATTCTAATCATAAGATTTAATTTCAAATTTAATTTTATTCAAAATTCAATAAAGACCAATATATTAAGTGGAAAAAAATACACTTTAGCGTATTATATAAGAATGAAATGAAGAGAAAATAGAAAGAAAGAAGAGAAAATAGAAGGAAAATGGGAAATGAAGCGTGTTTACCAGAAAAGAATTAGAGATAGGTCAGAAATTTAAAAAAGTTATGGTTAAAAAAAAACCGGAAACAATCAGTAAAAGGCGTCTTTTTTAACATTTTGTGACGATTTTTTTTAGCAATGGTTAACAATTATTTATGATAGTTTTAAACGTTTATTGACAATTTAAAAGTACTTTAAAAACAAAATTGTTTTCTAAGTACGTTTTTGTGTTCTAAAAATCTTTAACCAATGTGCAAGGTAATGATTACGTTCCAGTTAAACGAAATTAATTTTTTTTAATATAACTGCAGTGTAACTAAGTCACGATGAAGACTTCAAATTGAGAAAAATCACTACTTTGAAACTTGACAAAGATAAAGTTCACAACAATTTCTTACAAATTAGAAGAAAAGAAATGAAGACGAGCTTTCATAGAAGGTGAAGCAAGAAGGGAGATAGCGGTGACCAGACGATCAATTGAGAAGCTTGACTTAAGAAAGAGGGAAAGCTCGCCAAAAATAAATAAATATACGTTTGTTTTAGTTTAATTCCAGAAAATGTTTTCTTTTTCATTTTTCTCAAAAGAGTAATGCTAAACGTTCCATATTGAAACTTCTGATTCATCTTTCGAAACATTCAGCTGTTTACATATGTCAAAAACTTTAAATAAACCATTTTTTAACTTTATTATTTTAAAGTTTTAAACATTTGAAGATTTTTACGGTAAAAAATTCGGAGGATGTACAATTTCTATTCTAAAAAACTTAAAAGAAAGAATTAATCACCTATACACTGACAACCAATTATATCTTTTAATTATGTCATGTCACTATAAACATATTTATTAACATGACACAATTAAATGATATAATTAGTTACCAATGTAAAAAAAATTTACACTAACAGTGTATAAGTGATTCACTTTAAAAAGAAAAGACTCCATAAAAACATGCTTGAACAAGAAACAACTAACTCCTTTTACTTTACAAAATTTGGTCAAGACTTGACCATAGAATAGAGCTCCCACCACAAATTAAGAAGAAAAAAAACAAACAAAACTAAAACTATAGAATGCAGACATGTAATGATAAGACGTGGCGTTCATACATCAACCATTTATCACAATCTCATCTGCCATAATTTCATGGAAAATTTTGCTTGCCACCATAAACCTGCATCTGATCTGCCTTTAATATCACTCTACACCCATTAATCTAACAATAACATGACTGATATTGTTCAACAGGAATATACATACTTGAATCCAGTCGCAGAGAAAACAGCCAACCGACACTAACTAAATAAAGTGAAGATATGGCGAGTTTTATCTCACTAGGTAAGAATTGTTCGACAAATTCTTAGAAACATTATTTACCAAGAATTCTCTCCTAATTTCCTAATGTTTCTTAATCTTACTCTCCCCCTTATAAATGTACCTGTCCTGTGATTTCCAATGCATTGCAACAGGATTTTCAATAAAAAATTTCTACTATTGATTCTTTTTCCAATGCCCTGGCAAGACCCTTCAAATTTTTACCCTAGAGTAGCTGAGGCTTCTTGTTTTGATCTAGAGTACTTGATCTGCCAAATCTCAACATCAGGTCCTCTATCATATTCTCCAACATACTGTGGAATTTGAGATATGTCCATCCGCTTCCCCACAAAATTAGGCATGCTTACAGACTGAAGGCTTTCAATTTCTGCAATAAATAAATGGAGCATTCCCCATATTATGAATAATTATGTGAAATTAATACACATTAAAAATTCATCTATGTGCTTACCATCCTCATCCCTGAGATAGCTTCGAAAATGTGAATATCCATTTGCAACAACATCAAGGTCAGAAAGAGAGAAGTTGTAGCGCTTTTCTAGTGCCATGTATAACACCTACAAACCGATTAAGTCAAATAACTACTATTGAATAAGACTGCAACATTTCCTGTCCGTGTTCCATACTAGTCATAGTGCATATTGTCTCCCCCCCCCCTCCCCCCTCTTCAAACCTTTGTTGAACCCCTTGACATTAATGTCTCTAAGGTACTGAAAAACGCATCAGTCAGCTCATCACTATAAATAACATCAGCAGCCACCAGCAAAGAAGCATTCTCTGCATCTTCAATTTCTCTGGAAGTCCAAGAATACCTGGATCATGCATAAAGTGATTGTCACACCTGATATACACTGTAAATAAAAAGTATTAAAGTAGTAGTTGAGTTCATGCCAGAACCAATGGCAAATATTGCAAAAGACATAAAAGCATCCTTGTTAGAAGTTAGACACTCAAACTCAACCCCCAAAAGAAAAATAAAGAAGCAATAATTTCTGGAGACTATTCATCAAATAATTTTACTTTTGTGTGCAAGGAGCCTCTTCTATTTTTGTTTTAGGAGGCCAGCAATTGAACCAATCAAGTTCACGTACGTAAATTTTGGCTTGATAATTCAATGATCCAAAATTAAGCTGAACATTCTTTGCACAGTTGTCCAGTATTTCAGTTCCATGGTCTGTCAAATAATAATAAGCGTTAGCTGTCCATTAAAATCATCAACTTTAAAAGAACTAAACAAGTTCCTTAGATGATGCAGATTGATCCAGATAAATCTCTAGAATTATGCAATATAATCCCCATTTGTAATATGAGAATATAAATATTGGAGCTGGGAATAGTGACTCAAATAAAGGAAGGCACCATACCTGTTAGGAACACTGTATTTGCAAAGCGTGCAAGTAATAAACCCACCAAGCCTGGTTGAAAACTTGAAATCAAAAACATTTCTTAATAAATAACATGATGTCCTTTAAAATTGACAGATTTAATTATTCCTTTTCACAGATCATCAAAATAATCATTAGGAATGCCTCAAAGTGTTTCATTAACAATCAGCAGTTGAATAAAAAAAACACTTCTTTTTGTAACAATAACAAATTCTTTTGACTAAATTATTCATTTGGTCCCTTTATTTATTTTTTGGTTTCAATTTAGTTCTATTATTTTTAAATGAGTCAATTTAGTCCAACTTTTATTTAATTAATATCAATGTTTGATTTACATTAGTCTTGTTTAAATAATTAATGGTGGATGCCTATGTGGATATGACATGGATTTATTGTATTACTTTTAACTAGCTTTTAGTTACGGACAAACTCTAGGATGGAGACTAAATCATGTCTCCCACCATGAATTGCGAGTCATTAGATCTGCAACATTGTAAATTAATAGCTAATTTTTTTTCCTTTTTTCTTTTTTCCCAGTTTACCCTTTTCCAGCAACCCCTCCCAACCACATTACCTAGATCATTGTGTGACACTGGCGAAGGTGGTGGCGTTTTTTCTTTCCCTTTCCTTCTTCCCTTTTTCTTTCTTATCCAACTACTGCACACTGCCATGGAGAATATTTTTGATGACCTTCCCTTTCCCTTTTTCTTTTTCCTTTTTCAGCTTTAGACCTGTAAATTTCCTTTTCCAAATCAGATATGCACATTCAAACCAGATAAAACTCTCACTTACAGTCCCAACCCAAATCTCAACAACCCAATAACCAACACAAGGGACAAACCATATCTGCAAAACCCAACATCTCTAGAACACTTGCAATGATATCATCATGCTTCATCGTCGACAACCTCCACAAAGTGGTGTCGTTTCGAAACTGAGAACATGACTTGATACCGAAAGAGAAACCGACACTTGTGATGGTGCGGTTATGTAGTGCTTCGGCGGCGACAAAGGTGTGATGGATTGGTGGTAGCTAGGTGTGGTGCTTGTGGTAGATTGAATAGCTTAAAAAGGAAGGAGAGGGTTGTTTGAATTTGGAATTGAAAGAAGGAAGGAGAAGGGTGAAATCGAAAATTGGGCAGCATGTTGGTCTTCAATCTCGCCCAGACGAATGCATAGACACCCGCTTCGGAGCTAGCGTAGGAGGCGCCACAATCTCCATGCTTGGCTGCAACGTTGTTACTGGAGCTTAGTAAATGTGTTTCTTTGCTGCTGAATTATCTCAAGTTAGAGGAATGCTAAAACTCTATTTTTAACACACTATTATTTAATGAAATCCTAAGTTGGACCCATCATATATGATATAACCCCCTTCAGGCCTCCATTTTATTAGTGGGGTTAACATATGTCTTCACCAGTATTAAAGAATGTGTCCTAGCATTTGTCATCTCATAATCATAGTTAAATTGAAGTCAGACATGAAGAGTGAAGGATCCAATAGCATATTTCACTCAACCATTAATCTTAGGTTTGAAAATGTTAGAAGCCTATTGAGCTTCTCTGGCTAGGCCCTAGTCAGAGAAATGGATTGCAAAACGTAAGAAGAAATAACAAAAAAAAAAAGAGGGAAACTAACTAGGAACATACCAGTTCCAGCGCCAAGTTCTAATGCCGTAACTCCGTGAAGTTGAGAGGAACAGGATGCTCTATGCAATATAAAATCAGACAATAGTAGTTCAGCTTTCCAAACCTGACTACGGCAAAAAGAAAAACAATCAAAGAGACGCGCATGGAATTTAAAACGAAAAGAGTAATTTATGAGAAATGGTAATGGATTAGACTTTAGAGATACCTGGAGACCAACATTTGAAATTGACGATGTGATGTTATGCTGGATTTTCACACTGAGGCCGTCACGTGAATGTGGTGCATTTGCTTTAACAAAAGAGAGTTTTAGTTACATAATTAAGCGTCCATGGGAAGGAAAGAAAAGATAGGGTTGAGAAGTTACTGGTGCGTCGAGGGAGAAGAAGGTCACCGTCCGCATCGAATTCCAGATTGCGAGCAACATCTAAGATACCAGAAACGGTGAAAACAGAAATATAGGGCCCGGAGAAGGAGGGTGGACAACCCAGGTGAACCTCGCTCATCACTTCCTCGTCGTCACCGCCTTTTTCTTCTTCCGATTCCATTACCGCCACACTAAAATCAAATTATTTTTCTTTTCACCAGATTAACAAATGCTCTTCTTTCTGCCTAATTCTTCCGCTAAGTTTTGGGCCAATGTTTCTATTATTCGTCATACCAGCCCAATAACATCTAAAAGAAATCTCATTGTTTCCTAGCAGAAAGTACACCTTTTTTTAAAAAAAAAATCTTAAAATATATTTAATTTTTTATTTTTTATTTTTTTACATACATCTTTCTCTTTCTTTGTTTGGCTCATGATTGATATATATATATAGTATACCTCCTTTTCTTTTTTTAATAAAAATAAATTCTTAAAATATCATGAACATAAAAAAATAAGGAGAAAATTATAAAGTAAATAATAAAAAAGTAAAATTAAAAAAATACAGGATAAAAAATTAAAAATATTTTAAAAAATAAAAAAGGAAGGTATACTTATAATAAAAAGGTGGTGTATATATCATCAACCTAATTTTAAATGCTTTATGATGTTTCAAGGATATCTTTTAATTCACGGTCATAAGGTCCATTTTTTTTAAGCATACATTATTCAAGTCAATTTTATTTTATTTTTAATATTTCTTCATATACGAGCAATAATTGAATCCTAATTCATATATTTGAAATTTTGGCTATAAAATATACAAATCAATTAATATACAATTCTTCTAGTTTAATAAATAATCCTAAATTTCAATTCTAAGTATGCAGTTGTTTTAAATATTTTAAGGTAGAGTTTTACAATTTATAAGTATCTTATTCCCTATCTTCATAAAAGATATATGTAGTCTATTAAAAAAAAACAAAGAATTCAACTATAGGCTAAATTATCTTTCAAAAAATAATCAGCAGAAAAATATCTTTCAAAAAATAAACCATATGCTAATTATATAGTGTATCAACGTGGATATAGTGACATTTTGTATGCATGATCATTTTTTTCGAAAAAGTCTACCACAACATGGTTAGATTTGATTAGGAATTGTATGCATGAAGATAATTTTATCAGGAAAATTAAAATCCACTTTAATGTTTTGTACATCTTAAAAGGAATTAATTTTTTTACTATTATTGAAGTTGGAGATAATAATTAGTTTACACCATGAAGAGTTAGTACATTAAGCAAATATTTATAAATTTTGGTAGAATTTGTATATAAATTTAAAATTAAAGATAATAAATAATTTGTATCATTAATGTTGAATATTTTATTTTAACAAATAAGAATAAAGTAAAATAAGACTTTTTAAATTGAGGAAGTTACAGAAATAGATTAATTATATACATGTAGATTATTGAACCCTCTATCACAATAATCATATACGACCTAAAGGATTCTTATACAATTTCAAAATTGCAGGAGATATCAACTTCAAAAAATATTTTCTTACCAACGAGTTTCAAACAGTTGGTAAGGTAGTTGACTAACACGTTGATGTGGGTTTCATTACTGAATGGAAAATGTTTCATTGGAACTTGGAATTGGAAGAAACAAAATTTTCTAATTAGAGCAAGTTTTGCAGAAATTATAAATATGATTTGATGAATGAATGGGTCAACATTCAACAACTGCACCTACTTGAATTTCTTTCAAAATGATTGAAATTCGGATTTCAATCTAAAAATTCATACATGAAAGGAAGGAACGATCTCTCATTTGTCATGTGTCATATATGCCAACTTGATATTGATTTCAGCAAGCAGTGAGTATAAAATTGAATTAAACAAAGAATGATCAAACAATAAAAAAAAGGGGGAAAATTTGTCATGTTTGTTAAGCTGCTGGTTGGGATGTCTTCCTGAGAGCTGCAAGACGAGCAGACAAGTCATCATAATCGGGCAGACTAGGATGCACATGTCCCGCTGTCCTCAACATTTCCGGTACAAAGGATGTAGCAGGTCCATGAGTTTTTAATGTTTTCACCGAACCTGTGTCTTCAGCAGGGAGAGATATTCTCACAAAGGATGCGCATGAATTTGGTTTCGGACGTCCATTGTCGTATGACTCATATTCTAGTCGTTGCAAAGGATAAGCTTTTGGATATGTTTTTCCTATGCTTGATTCATGAAGACATTGTTTGTTACTGTAATGCATTAAGAGAACATCCATTATCTTCTCTTCATCATCCCTTGAATCTCCATTATCTTCAAGGTTGGTTTGTTGGTGTTGCTTTGCCTTATCTGACTCCTTTCCACTTGAGTCTACCTTTGCAGTGCCTCTAGTTTTAAAATCAGAAACTGTGTTGTCTTCAAGGGGCGGTTTGAGAGGTCTCCTCCTAACTGACATTGGTTTTGACTTTTCTGGAACAACTGGTTCATGAAGATCATTTGACTCCTTCTCAGATAGAACTTGAAATTCTGTGCGTTTCTTCAAACTGCTTTCGCTTTTATTTAATTTTTCTATGACGTAAGGAGGTGGAACATGCTTGTAGGAAAATGACCTCTTAATATCTGCATCATCCTCTGATACACTTCCTAAGGAACTTGAACCAGCCTTATGACCATCAAGGGATGAACTGTCAGTAATTGTTTCATCTTCAGTGCTGTTTTGTAGCCTCCAATAGGCATCACTGATATCCTCCCTTACTTCAGATGGGGTACCTCTTTCATTTTCGTCAGATGTATGACAGTCTGTTCCATCTCTCTGTTTGCCTCCAGTAAACATGTCTATTTTAGGGACGGCAACATCATTGTTCTTGTGCCATTTCACACCATCATTATCATTTGGTAGATCAAGTTTAGCTTTCTCCTGCAACAAGTAGAATGCTTTGGAATAAGTCATCACTCATCAGCTGAATGAAAAACTTTTTTGTGTTGGACATAGCTATAAAAGCTTAGGCAGGCATTCTAAAAAGTTAAAAGTTATGGCTATCAAGGTTGAATTGTTGAATATAAAATTATAAATAAATAATGGATAGCTGAATAAGTGTGAACCTTAAAATCTCAGCTTGATATATATTTGTTACTTCCCTTATATCATATAATTCAGGAGAAGTAAATAGCATATAATCAAGAGGAAATTAAAATATATCAATGCAATTCTAATTATTCAATTCTAATTTATATATTTGCTGAAACAAATACTTAATTATAAGTAGAACTCACTTCATATAACTGAGGTGATGAATCAAGTCTTTGTTCCAAAGCTTTGCTGTTCCATTTGATAGAAAATTCTTGCGCTAATTCATGTATCAGATCAATCTTCATTTCTTTTGAAGGAGGATCTTGCCTCAACTTCTCAACAAACTAAAGAAAAGCAAATATTTAAGTAAAGTGGTGGAATCCAAGACATGATCAAGAAAATAATTTAAGGACCATAAAAGTGGTCACCTCTCTATTTATATAATGTTCGAGATTATTTTTTCCAAATTTCCCCGTAAACAACATTCTGAGTTCACGGAGTTCCGGCAGATCAGAAAACCTTGCTGCAGCATATATCAATGATTGAATAGCTTGCTTGCATTCATCTGGGATATCCCTATTGAAGAAGATTAAAATATTGTCATGATAAATCTCGGCTAATGCATTGTAGAGAAAAAAATTTAAAAAGTGAGTGAAGACGAAAAAAAGAAAAGAATATTTTACTGTATACACAGAAAATCATACCTCTGTTTACAAAGGTCTCCAACATGACCCAATACACAGTTAACAAATATTATGATGAGTTCATAACATGATGACATATTTTGTTCGACCAGAAGCCCTTCCGCCTGCGTCAAATGTAAAGAATTTAACGTCAAGCTGTCTAATAAGCCTAATGCATATATATTCTTTTGTTACAAATGGTGTAAATTAAATATCACAATATCTTGCTACATGCAAAAATAAATAAATTTTGGATGAATGCAAGATGAATTATAATTTCTTCAAGAAACAGACCGAAAGAATAATGAATAGCCTAAGATGATGAGATGCATTTTTATTCTTTGATCAAATTATAAGATGATGAGACTGTGACGTTTCTTTTTAATAGACCACCATGTTTCTTCTATCAGCTTACTAATTAAACACTTCTTTGAACAAATATTCTTATGATTAAACCAAGAAAAATTTTAACAGGATTGGAGACTACGTCTCTTTCCATGCGAGCACAGTGAAACTCTGGGTAAACTAAATTGAGAAAAAAAAAATTACCCTTCCGTATGCATTGTAATCAAGATCATTGCGAAGAAGGTCAGCAATGTCTTTCTTGAGAAATTTCTGCACAGCATTCCTTTTCTTTTGAATCGTCTCTACCCTCGTCTTTATTAACTTCAAGCGCGATTTGCTGTTTCCAAATTTAATTTCATTATTAATTCAAAACAAGAACAAAAAAATGTCAGTAAAACAAGAAGTTGAAGAAAAGGAAAGAAGCATCATTACCACTTTGTATAGAACTTGGGCTTCAATATCGCATCAAACATTTTTACTGGAAATATAGAAGAGACTATGTTGTGGGGAAGAGAACAATTAAAAAACTTTGGGAGAAAAAGTTGATTGTTGAGGAAGAAAGAATATGCAGAAGCGCAATGCAGTGCGGTGGTTTGGAGAAGAGAGAGAGAAAGGGTGAGTGAAGAATCTGAAAACTCTCAAGGAAAAGCGCGAAATGAAAGAAAAAGGTGTTGGAAAGCACGTTTATACTACCGAGCCACAAAAAGATAGAGAGATAACCGTCATTTGTCTTAGCCACCCAACCAAACTAACCAGCCAGCTGGCCGAGGATACTCGCTAATCGCTAATCACTAATCACTATTACCACTTTTATTTCACGCAACCAATACCAGAAAAAACGTGCGCGGAAAATTTTACTATTTTCAATCTTCACGCGCCCTAAATTTTTGCATTTTAACTTATGATTTTCCTCTGCACTTTCAAGTTTCAACTACTTAATTTTATCTTTTGCAATACAAAATCTGGGATTTACCACAGCCAAATATATCATTGCACACTTTATGGTGTAGATATATTGAAAAAGAGAAAGAAAAAAAATTAATATATATAATAAAAAGAAAAGAGATATAGAGAAATAAGATATATAATTTAGATATCTATCACTAATTCACAGATATTGCAACTTATATTTATTCTTTAATTAAGGTTTTCAAGGTTTATTTTTTATAATTTTTATCATATTATTAATATAGTTGTGATTTTACTATATAAAAATATAAGAAGTATTTTTATCTAATTTAATTATTTTTTAAGTAAATAAACTCGTTTAACTTACTAATTTATATTATATTAATTTGATTTGTATTTTTATAAATTAAAAAAATAGTCAAACTAAATTTATTTAATTTTAAGTAATTTGTGATACAAGTCCACCACCTCACTTTAACATATAATTATTTAGATTTTAGAGAATATAGTCATTTCAATTGACTTTAAAAATGATAAGGGAGAAAATAAAACATAATTTCATGTAACTATATATTAGAGCCGTGAAAGTGGGCCGGGACCCGTGGGCCAACCCGGCCCACCTTGAAAACGGGCCGGACCGGGCAAAAAAAATTGAAGTTTTATAGTAGGTGGGTATATCTCAATCCAGCCCACTTTGACCCGGCCCATCCGGGCTAAACCCGCAGTGGGCCGGGTAGCCCACCAACCCACCATTTTTTTTTTCAATAAAAATTTAAGTATGATTTGTAGTTAATTTTGTATGATGAGTTATGACTTATGACTATTAATGATGCTAATTTTATGACTATTATGTTAATTTATAATTAATTTAAAATTTAAAATTTTGTTGATTTTTTTTTTAAATTTTTGGTGGGCTAGTGGGCTGGCCCGTATAACCCACCAACCCGTGGTGGGCCGGGCCGGGCCAAATTTTTTTTGAAAAAATTAAAAATGAACCAAGTTGGGTTGACTCGTTTTTAAAGTGGGTCAAGATGAACCAGTCCACATGAACTGGACTAGCCCGTTTTGAAAGTTCTACTATATATCCTCGAGTTTTGATATAACGATGGCAAGACAAGATTTGCAGAGCTGGCTGGAGTTCTATCAACTTTTTCTTAAAGAGAGGTAAGCATAAAATTGTGAAATTTGATGATTGGCATGCATTTGGCAGTTGAGTGGGAAAAGATACAAATATACAAGACAGTTTTACATTAAATTAGCAACTTGCTGGCTAACGAAAAAGAGATAACCATAAATAAATAATGGAGTTATTATAACATCCTGGTGGCATTATAATATCCCATTTGTTATTCTAGAAAAATAATTAAGTCATTTAGATTTAACAACTAAGTTTTACAAAATAGTATAGTTCATACAATTATCGGTAAAAAAAATAAATAAGAAGATGATTATAAGAAAATATCCTGATGAACATAGTACTGACGTTGGTATTTTTAAGTCAAAGTACTCACGTTGATTTTATAAGAAAATATTTAAAAATATTTTAACTATACTAATAATTATTAGCTCCACACACTCAAGTAAGAAAAACAATTGAATACTATATATGTTCAGCAAATGACAATGAACATTTGAAATACTCACGTAAAATACTAGTCTTTTTTTTATCAATATAAATAATAGTAATTTATATTTTTTAAACAAATTTGCCTATGATTTAAATTTTGATCTTAACTATGAAATAAATTATATTTAAAAGAAAATACTTATTTAATGTACGTTTATAATTTTTGACAGAGATTAATCACTACTTTTAGTGATAGATATTTTATACCAATGTCATGATTAGGAAAATAAAATTTTAAAAACATACGCTACTTGTAATTAACAAGTTAAAAAAGATTTATTTGTAAAAGATTTAATATTATTATCTATCAAATTTCAATTATACTAATTGAAACTCTCAATATTTTTCTTATAATATACAAATTAACTTTTTTCATTCCGAATATTTCGTATGACATAATAATGAGTAAATAGAGTGTATCAACTCAAAATAAATATTTGAATTACAATAACTTAAAAAATTGTTATGATTGTATTATTTAATTATCATATTGATTATAATCAGTAAAACATTATATTTACGATATTAATAAATAAAATAAAATAAAATAAATATTTTTCATTTTGAGATAATAACTTAAATATTAAATACAATCTTATTAAAGATTTGATTATTTTAAATATCAAAATAACTAAATAATAACACACAATTAAAACAAGAGATGAAAAAATAAGGGAGGGGGAGGGGAACACGCAATAAAATCAATATTATTATAAAAGAAAATTACACCACTTTTTACGAACACTTATGAGTTCTCAAAGTAGATTAAGAGAGAAGAAGATAAATTTGGGATGAAAATAAGAGGGACCACTAGGCTTTATTTATAGTCATAGTGGGATCCAAGTTTGAAGTTCCCACCAATGTGGGACTTCTACTTCTAACAATTCTCTCACTTGAAGATTATGATTAAGTTAATCATATCTTTACACTAATCATTCCTACACTACTGTTTCTTCTTTGTCACTACATGTTGCTTGTGTTTCTAATAGACCATATGAAGATTGATACTATATATACTTGTTAGTGTTGATCGACTTTGTCATCACATATGCTATTTGATATGAATTTTCTACATATATTCACTCTTCCTTTTTCTACTACTTCACGAACAAAGTGGTATTATATACCTATGTGCTTATTTTGGAATGAAAGGTTAGATTCCTTACAATGTGCAAGACATTTTGATTGTCATAACACAATAGTCTTCTACTATTTGTGTCCAAGTTCCTCCATTAGCTTTTGAATTCCTATTGCTTCTTTATAACATGCTTAAGTAACTATTATGTATTCAACTTCTATAGTAGAAAAACTTACAATAATTTATAACTTAGATAACCAACTTACTTCCCCTCCAACAAGTGTAAATACATAATCAATAGTAGATTTTCTTTTATCCAAATCACTTGTAAAATCCGAATTAACATAGTCATTGCCAATAAATTCTGATCCTTCAAACAGAATACAATATTTGAGATTATTTCATTGTATTTAAGGATTTTCTTAACAGTATTTTAATGCTCTTTATCTGAATCTGTCATAAATTTATTGACCATTTTCATTGTTTGCATAATGTATGATCTTATACAAATCCTTTCCCACCACTGATGCATATGGTTCTCAAGACATTTCCTTCCTTTTCGAATTATAGCTAGGACTCATACTTAAAAATAATTTGCAATTGATAGAAAGTGGAATAAAATTGACTTATAATCTTGCATGTTGAAGCAGAACAAAAGTTTCTAAATAATTTTTTTAAGAAAGTCAAGTCTTTTTATCTTTCCTGTCTCGATGAATTTGTATCCCTAAAATTTTGTATATTAGTCTCAAGTGTTATATATCATGACCAATTGTACCTTCAATTTTTAGATTTAATCTTTGTTAGAGCCTACCACAACATGCCATACTTATAAATAAAAGAAAAATTGAGAGCCAATTAATATAATCACTAGTGGAAAAAAAGCTTTTAAAATCGGTTTCGTAACCGATTTTAAAAGAGTCGATTTTAAAAATTAGACTTTTAAAATCGATTAAATAACCGATTTTAAAAGTTAACTTTTAAGATCGATTATTTTATAACCGATCTTAAAAGTCTTGGTTTTGAAAAAATTAAATTGGAACGAGCCGTTCCAGGTTGTTAAAAAAGCCTAAAATTATACTTTGAAACGGGTCGTTCTAGCATAGTTTGGCATGAGTTAAAACCAATTCAGAACGGGCCGTTCTCCTTGAAGAACGGGTCGTTCTCCTTTCAGAACGAGTTGTTCTCCATGCAGAACGGGTCGTTCTCCTTGCAGAACGGGCCGTTCCAGATTCAAAATTTACCCAAAATGAACTTACAACGAAAATAGAGACACGAGAAGAGCATGAGAAAACAAAAACGAAAATGACAACGAAATTTACCTTATGTGAGACTTTAGAAAATGAGAGTGTGAGAGTGTAAAAAAAGGAATGGAAGAAAAGATTAAAGAGAATGAGAATGAAAGATATACTACATACAAAATCGGTTCTTAAATAACTGATTTTAAACGTAACATTTTAAAAATCGGTTCTTAAATAACCGATTTTAAAAGTAGTACTTTTAAAATCGGTCATAAAATAATCGTTTTTAAAAGTACTTTTAAGTTCGATTATTTTATAACCGATCTTAAATTTTTTTATATTATTTACAAAATTGTCACTGTGTCACTTTTAAGATCGATTACCTTTTAACTGATCTTAAAACTCCGATTTTAAATTCAATTTTTGTACTAATGAATTAAAATCCAAACCCAACAAGTACTTATTGATGCACAGTCACTTATATGTTAGTTGGATTGATAAAAAAATTCTATGAATGAGACGCTGACTTGAACTAGAAGATAAAATAATCAGTGATTTAAATATATGCGAGGACGAGGGTCCTACGTGGCTGGCTGGCTCCAGCAGAGAATGAGAAATGGAATAAGAATATTTAATGCATTAAAACAGTCTAGTGTTGTGTCACAAGCAATGACATGAACATGGCAATTGCCAAATTCGGCGTCCATTTGCGGGTACGAGGTATCGCCTAATATTCATTGAATCAAATATTCAGATTCACTTCTTTGCTTCCTCATCAATAATCAATTCAAAATCCATAAACAAAAAAGCAAG